ACAACCGACTCCATTATTCCGTATGTTCACAGCGTACCTCACATTTCCTTTTCTCAGATCCCCCTCATTACCTTTCCTTCTGTGTGTCTTACTTTCTCTCTCTCTTTCCCACGACAATTCTAATTCTGCTTTTAAAGTCCCGTTTAAGCCTTAGGTTCACTCCTCAGCCTTCTTCGTGAATGAGGAATAAATCACCTACACCTGCCAAGGTATTAGGGCGCCGGCAAGGCGCGCGTGCCTCCGTTGCCTGCCCAGAGCCTGGGCATTCATGCATTCAGGTAACGGTCAGCTCTTTTCTTTTTGTATCTCCAGTGTCAGACACTCAGTATGCATTCAGTAAATATGAAAGGACTTCAAAAGTTCTGGGAAAAATGGAATTAAAGTTTGAGTTTATTTTGGCATGCAAAAAAAGTTGAACTCCACATGTACAGTTTCGTTCTAGAATATGCATTTTATTTTCCATGAACTTTTGGAGGACCCCTCATATATCCAGACCAACACTTATCTGACAGTTATCTCTTTTATATATTTATGTTTTATGATTGAATTTGACCTTTTGGTCATTTACCACTTTGAAGCAATAATTTATTTCTTACATGTTTTCTCTTGTGCTTCTGTTAATAAAAGACAATTGTTGACTTAATTCATAAAAACGGCATCCATGGCTGGAAGAAGGGGGCCATGAAGCCATCTTATCTCAGCAAGCCTTCCTTCTTCCTGGTGGGCGTCTTGGCTACACATGGGGCTTAATTGTGCCTTAACTACATGGAACATCTATGCTGTATTGCCCACTGACCATTTAGCATTTCTGCTATAGAGTCCTTACCCAACACTCATCAATTTTACTGTGAACTCTTATTACTCTTCACCAGGAAAATATAAATATCAGAAGTTTGTTCATAAGCAGACATCAGTCATTGCCCAAGTGCAACAATATACTTTATCAAGAAAGAGGATGAGTTAACGTTATACGGTGCATAAATAAAATTCAAGTTTGCAAATAGAGTAACCATATAAGATCATAAAAACACGTATCCATTTGGAGATGACACTGAGGCTCCCTCCTGTCTAGGGAAAATGTTTCGTTATGGGTTCCGTCGTGCCAAGGACAGACTGGTCCTTTCCAGTCACTTACCCTCTGACAGCATGAATAAGTCTCAATGATGGATAGGCTGTTCGCACTTTCAGTTTATTCTTAAGGATTAATGCATTAACCCACTCCACGTGCTTCTCTCCTCCTTTGACCATGAAAGCAGGAATCCAAAGGACACTGTCATTCAGCATGGAAAGTCTATGCACAAATTTTTCTCTGTCACTCTCATTCCGAAAGCCTCCAAATGCTCTTTGTACAACTGATGGGTTCATGGTAATAAAATCTGATTTAGTTCCCACATCTGCGGCAAACTCCACCACGGGAGCTAGATTACACCTGAAGAAGAAAAAATTAATGGACAAATGAAAAATAAATATGAAACATTCATGCACAAAATGGCGGGCGTGGAAAAAGGATTGGGGGGTGAACATGATCTTTTAACCAGGTTAAAAAAAAAAAAGATCATCTGTATAGCAAAATTACAGTTTCAGTAAGTCTCCACATTCAGGAATACGGCTTATAATGAGGATGCGTTTTCCTAGTAGAGGACTCAAATTGCCACTTAGATTAATGCAACCTGTTGTCTTCAAATGCACTTTGCTGTCTTCATAAAACCATGTGATGTGAATGCATAATAGTGAATTTATGATGTTAAACTCACGAGGGCTCTGTTGCCATGCAGTAGGCAAGCGAAGCCATATGCTCTTCTGTAAATAAATGAAGCATATTCGACTTGATGTTCCAATCTGCACCACTTGTCAAGCTTGGCATTTCAATAACTTTATGAACATACATAAATGAAGTGGACTTTTCCGTACACCGAGGTTAGGTGAAAAGTACCATTCCTTATGCAAGTTGAGTATCTCTTACTCCAAAATGCTTGGAAGCAGAATTTCAGATTGCATTTTTTTTTTTGGACTATTTTCACATACACAGAATGAGATATCCTGGCATGTAACCTAAGTTTAAACATGACATTCATGTATGTTTCGCAGATCCCTTGTGTACCTAATCTGAAGATCATTTTATATAATATTTTTGTATTGCAGTGTTTTGGCTGAGACCGGTCACGTAAGGTAAGGTATAGAATTTTGGAACTCAAAATGTTTTGGTTTTGGAACATTCCAGATTTTAGATTTTCAGATTAAGTATGTTCTATTTATAGCATTTCCACATTTACAACTGTCTTCTAAAAGTCTAAATAGGAGAAAATGGAATGGAGGTATTACACATAACATGCTTTTCTGAGATGTTAAGTAATGCAGAAAAGCCCGTACTATAAGAACAAATATTACCTTTCCTGATTCTTTTGAGGATATCCTGAAAATACATGTTTTCCCTGTTAAGCCCCATGCATCCCTGAGGAGTGCACAGGGAAGTGGGGGGGTGGGGGGTGGCCCTGCTCTCTCGTTACTGGAACCGCAGGGCCTTGGACAGAGCCTCCTGATTTTACCCATGGGACCTGAATCCACCCTCATATTATAAGGAAACTTTGAGAAACACTTTGAGTTTGTGTTTAACCAGATAGCAACACTTCTGTCATTCTGTTGCACAGATTCCTGGATACTTGACTTAAAAACAGTTTTTAAAAACACTATGCTTAACTGCTAAAAAAAGAACAGCCTTAATCAGTCGATAAATAAAAAGACTTATTTTTAACAAATAAGAGTTTATTATGTTGGACAAAGAAGTCATTGAATCTATTTAGTCTACACCTTTATGAAAACACACACACACACACACACACACACACACAGAATCTCTCTGTTGCTTTCCTTTTATCTACTTTTCAAGAGAAAGGAAAATAAGCAGTTTCTGTTTCTGTACCTTTGCAGGTTTGGTTTAATAAGAGAGTTCCTCATAATTCTCTTCCTGGTGCATTTTGTCACATTAATTAAACTCTCCAACAAGTTGAATTTTAATTAAAAATAAAGTGTGTGTTCTGCTATTAAAAGTACTGTCTTGTATTCCTTCCTTATCTCTTTTAATTAATACATCTTATTACTTTCTAGATTTCTGACAACATGTAACTATGACATCAAATATCTTTCATTTTGCATGATTCCACAAAGTCTACATGATCTAGAGTGACCTACTGAGGGAAAATTTATATGACACATATATTAATAAGCAATTGTGAATTAAGGATTGTATTTTCAATTGCTATAGCTTTCATTATACCCAATAAATATATGAGAGAGTGTTTCCTTGTTTCTACCCATGATCCATGTCACTAATTGAGGTTAGATATTTATTCCCAACATGGAAATGATATTATAAATAAGACTGCCCTGAGTGACATAGTCGAAATATTTATTGAGAATCAAAGTAGAATATGTTAGTGTTATAGCTATCATTTTTTCTTTAAGCACATACTTTGCATCTAACCATCTGCCAGTGCCATTGTTAAACATGTTTTTAAAATTGTTGTACATTTATTAAACTAAGTGCTTAATTTTAAAGTATTATGCTGTCATCATACAGGGTATAAAAATGTGTAATTGCCAATTCATTGTAGCTATTATTCATTTTTAAATGAAAGTAAAAAAAATGCTTTCTGACTTAAGAAATTTGTTATGAAACTGTTTCTTTATCTCCTTCTCTGATATAGGCTAAAAAAACTGTCCCGAGTTTGAGTTTTAACTGCCAGTACATGACCAGTCACAAGTGAACTACCACTCAGTTGCCAGTCTTTGCTCAAATTAAAACAACTTACAAATGTGCAGTTTTTGTATCTAATCTCTGATAATTGAAATGACTTTAAAGTATATTTTTACCAAGGAAATGCAAGTCATTAAGATAAAGTATGGTAGAATAAACTTTGTCTTATAAACATAAAAAACCTTTTTAAAAAAAGACTACCTGGGGACTAGCAGTTAGCATAATGGCTATGTCACTGGACTCCCATGTAGTTGACTACGGTTCAAGTCCTGGACCTGGTGGCTTAAACTCACGCTGGGTGCCTGTGCGTGCGTGCCCAAGATCCCAAGAGGAGAATAGAGGAGAAAGGATTGTGGCGTGGCCATCCTCCCTGGGGGTGATTTCTCGCTTTCTGTCTCTCTTTCTGGCAAACACATGCCCTATAACAAAAAAACTCTCAAAAAAAAAAAAAAAAAGACTACCTTGATAAAGATTTGCTGCACATGAACAGAGTTTAGAGTGAACATCTTTTATGGTATGCATGGAATATTGAGGACCTGATCATACAGAAAGTCCTGAAATGTTTTCAGACTCGTGGCTTGCTTTCTCACTTTCTCTTTCTCTCTCTCTCTCTCTCATGAGTGCACATGTCGTATAACAAATTTAAATAATAATAATAATAATAAAAAATAAAAATTTGTATCTATGCTTACAATTCTAATCAAGCTGATTATAACATAAATTTGGATACTAAGCAGAAAAGTGTATTCTGAAACTATTATTAGAAACACTTCTTCTACAGTAGAAACAGAGAACACTTGTTAACACCACACCTACCATGCTCCTGTCAGGGAAGTGTCTTCAGCTGTATCTGTCTACTATTATAGTTCCTCAACAGCTTCTTCCAGTGGATTCCCACTACAGGGAAACAAGGGATGGATGGTGATGCGGTCTTAGTGGATTGTTCTATGGGCTGACTCACATGGGAAAGTTCTAGGTTTGCTTCTGGGGACCTCCCGGAACATACTGGGTACAGATGAAACCAGGGTCCAGGCTAGGGGAGGGGAGTCACTGTGGTGTGACGATCTCATTAGAAGTGCCTATCTTTATGTCTCTCTCTCTCTCTCACTGAATAAATAAACTGAAAAAAAAAATCTATGCTTCATTTCTCTGTAAGTGTAAAAATAAAAAGAACAGATCCAGTTAATGAGCACAAAACTATATCTTCCTGAATGATCTTTTCATGAAAAAAATCACTTAATTAGCTATACTTGTAGGTTTTTTTTTTTTCTATTGTCATATATTTAAGAGTTTCATCCCTTACCCGAGCTTCTCAAAATCCATTCTTTTAGAAATGACTAAACATATTTCTGAAGCTTGAATGTCTGGAAACACATCTCTTAAGAGGTAGTAAGACATTTATCAATGAAAGCCAAAGGTTGAAAGGCAGGTACTTTCCACTTTGTAAACAAAAAGTAGCTAGCGGAGTAATAACATTTCTGAAGAAGTTTGATCTAGGAGGCTAAAATAAAAAATGAGATCTGTGTTATGTGTATGTTACTAAGTAAAAACCTGACTCAAGATTGCAGGGTGTGGGAACCAGCAGTTAGCGTAATGGCTATGTCGCTGGACTCCCACGTAGTCGACCATGGTTCTCGTCCCCGACCCGCTGACTTAAAACTCACGCTCATGCCGGGCGCATGTGCGTGCGTGCCCAAGATCCCGAGAGGAGAATGGAGGAGAAGGGATTGCAGTATGACCATCCCCCTGGGGTGTGATTTCTCGCTTTCTGTCTCTCTGTCTCTCTTTGTCTGTCTGGCGAGCGCATGCGCCCTATAGCAAAAATCCTCTCCAAAAAAAAAAAAAAAGAGATTGTAGGGTTATAAGTCTGATGTGTGTCAAGGGCTTGAGCACAGCCCAGCAACGCTTTGTGAGGAATGGCAACTGAGGTACTGAAAATAGCAGGACAGAGGACACGTCCTAAAATATACCCTAGGCTGGTTCTAGGAGTCCGGCCTGTTCATTTTTCTGGGACGGAGTAAGTACACTTTTTCACAAGAAAGAAAGTAAGATCATGTCCACATGGGGCTGGTAAATGAACTACTCTGGGCTGAGTCAGATATTTAGTTATATCATTAGCCAGATGCCACTTATTTAAAGAAAATAATTTAGCAAGCCAAAATGGCCAACCAGCTGTGTGGCACCCCATCAATGCAGTAGACTGGTGAACTTCAGAGTATTAAAGTAGCAATATTGCTTCCTGAACAAGATTATGGATATATTTCCAATCATAAAATGTGCATTTTTAAAATCTCCTTAGTAGTTATAATATTCAAAAGTAGCTAGAATGTGTCTCAAGCATTTATAAAATAATGCATGATTACTCATGTTATTCATAATCTTATAAAATAGGAGAATGGTCAACTTAAAAACAATGGCTCTTTATGAGTCAAAAGTAGTGAGTATGTATGAGTGCATTTAATAGACTCAAACTCCATTGCCTTTAGTAAATTAAATTTCTTTTCGTACTGTCCAACTGTATCAAAACATGAAAACAAATACAAAGAATTAGATGTGAAAACCAGACTCTGTATTTACTTCTTTCTTCTAGAAGTGGGAGAAACAGAGAGAGACAAAAATAGCAAGAGAAAGAGAGAGTGAGAGAAAGCACCCCTCACATGGTCCTTGAAGTTGTG